GAGCAGTAGCTCAAAAGAAGGAACAAATCTTTATAGCAAGGCTCATTCCCACCCCCTCCATACACAGAGTAGACAGGGATGGGCAACTTGGACATTGGCTACCCAAAATTTGGGGGCTTCAAAGGCAAGAAGTGACTGGCTTACAAGCTTTCAAGAGGGAATCGAGATCCAGAGAGTGTGGAGGAAGGTAGAATCTCCACTGAGTAGTATCCAATCTGTCTAGGCAGGGCTTATGAAAGGAAATGCAGATAGGTCTCTTGTGATAAAATAGTGAATAATTATTATCAGGACTGATTATGAGGGTTGGAAATGTAAAGGTAAATGTTTTGTAGCAAAAGGAGGGGAGTGATTAACTTTGCAGTCTAGTAGCAGAGGTCCCTGGGACAATCAAGTGAGAAGAGCAGAGAGCGGGACCCTACCCAGAGAAGCAGTGATGCCAGAAATGGAGACAGAGACAATGACATGGAGAGATGGAGCGGCTGGGGACTTTAGACCCAGAGAGGGAGAGGGGCTGTGTGCTGATGACCAGGGAGGCAGGCTTGCAGTGTATACCCTTTGGTTGGTTGATGATGCATGGAGGGGATTGTAACCATGGCAATGAAATGATATACAGTAGGATGATGTAAAGGTAATGTTCTCCCATGCAAGCTATCAAATAATTCACAATAAAACATAAAAAAAAAAAAACTAAAGTTGAGATTATAGTCCCTGTAAACTAGATTTAGAAGGATTATAGCCTCCAGTGTGTCTAAAAATTTGGGGAAAATATTTCACCAGCAATTGGCTAATAAAAGTCATTGAATTTTGATCATTTCAATGGGTAAATTCATTGAATTCCAAAGAAGTTGTGCTTTAGTACAATTGTTTGTGTGGAGGTACATAATGGAAACCAGTTCTAGAAAACTTATCTTTATTGCTTTAATTTAATTTGAGAAATGATCTTAAGTGTCATGCCTTGTATTAGACTTTCATACAGACATACACAAAATTTGCTTTAGGCTTACAGGAGCTTACAGCTAGTACCGAAGAGAAATCTATACAGCAGTCCTGAGCACAACCAGTATCAGGCAGACCAGTGGTACCAGACCAGTGGTGTAGACCATGTGCTAGGACCATGGGGAGGAATGTGTACTCCAACGTGGAGAACTGGTGAAGACTTCATGGAGAAAGTGGCATTTGCACTACATCTTAAAGAGTGAATACTATTTTGGAAGGAGAAAAGAAAGGAAAATTCATTCAGGAAAAGGGAAGAGTAAATGTCAATGCTGCAAAGTGAGAAGTGTTCCTAATGGATTTATCATAATCAGGATGAATGGCTGTATTCCTTATAGATTGTGAATAAAGTCACTTTAAATCAAGTGTAACTAGCACCTTTATTTGCAAATTTAAAATGATCTGTGTTAATTGAGATAAAAGTCCCAAAACCTAAAACTCACCTTTAAACCATTTTAAAGTATACAATTCCATAGATTTAGCATATTTATAATGTTGTACAACTATCACTACTATCTAATCCCCGCCAAAAAAGAAACCCCGATACCTAAGTGCTCACTTCCTATTTCCTGGCAACTTCGAATTTACTTTCTGTCTTTGTTGATTTATGTAACATTTCATATAAATGGAATCATAGATACATGTCTTTTTGTATCTGACCTAGTTCACTTAGTACACTATTTTTAAGGTTCATTCATGTCATAACATATCAGAACCTCATTTCACTTTGTGATTGAATAAGATTTCATTGTCCTTAACACATTTTTTATACATTCAACTATTGATGAACACTGAGATTTCTACATTTTGGCTATGATGAGTAATACTGCAATGAACATAGGTGTATAAGTGTCTGAGTTCTTACGGTCATCTCTTCAGGGTATATATAACTAGGAGTAGAGTTGCTAGGTCATATGGTAATTCTATGTTTAAGTTTTTGAGGAACTAGCAGTTGTTTTTTACAGTTACTGGACCATTTTTATATTTCTTCCAACAATGGGTGAGAGTTCTAATTTCTCTATATCCTCACCAACACTTACTATTTTTGTTTTTTAGGTTCTAGTAATAGTCATTCTAGTAAGTATGGGGTCTAGATGTGGTTTTGGTTTACAGTTCGCTAATGACTTAGGACATTCAGCATCTTTTCATGTACTCGTTAGCCATGTTTACACCTTCTTTGAGAAATGTCTATTCAAGTCCCTGTAACATTTAAAAATTCTTAATTTCAGTTGAAATGGACAATTCATTAACAAGATACAAAAGACTATAGACTAAAAACTGACCACCTCTGACTTTCACTCTGGGAAATGAATAATATTGATGGTGAGATGTGTGCGCCCAGCCCCATGTAGGTGTTATAGACTACCTGAGACACTCTATAGATATACAAGCAAACAGGATTTCATGTTCTACTTTCTCTTCTCACTCAATAGAATCATGTGCTGTTTTCTCAATGTTGTTTTTTTTTTTTTTTTAATAAATGCTTTTCTTTAGGTCACAAGCCCTAAGATTTCAAAAATGCTACAAAAATCACCCTCTACAAGAAGAGTGGTAAGAAAACAAATCATTTCCTGTTCTCTCTATTAACTGCTTATGTAATAGTCTCTGCTTGCAGAAAACACATACATGTATGATTTTGGTCAACCGTGAATTTAATGTGACACATGAAGGAATGGTATAGGGAATCTATACTAACTGATCATTCAAAATGATGTTAGGCAGCTTGTACATAAAGGAATACTAGAGTAAGCTATAGGAGGAGCTGTGATTATAATAACCATAGGTCCAATATTGTCAGGAGAATGGAATTTATCTTACATAGACTTCAGAGAGCTGGAAGGGGAGGTATATAAGATAATCAAATGAGTATTTTAGGAGTGCAGTTTTGACTTCAATTAGCCATATTCACACTGTGCCATTCTCAAATCCCAAATCCTCAAGATCCATTTCCTGGCATGCTCTCTGGTTCTTACTGGTAATATTAAGAAGGTCCTATCAGTACTGACTTTATTTTAAAATATTTTTTCCAGAATGCATATTGAATCAACTCACATAATCCTTTCACATGGACAATGCCATCCTTTAAGAATGTGAAAGTTTAAAACAAACATCTGAGGACTAGCCAGGTCCTCAAACAAGTAAAATATATTTCTGTTCACCTTCTAAGTAGAACATTAATTTTAAAATCATTCCAAGTTTGAAACAAAAGGAAGGGATTTTCCAGTTAATCTTGGCAAAACAAATTTCTTTTAGTTAGGCAGCACTAGTTTTTGAATAGGAGACACTGGTACAAATGGTTAACATGCTTGGCTGTTAACCAAAAGGCTGGAGATTCAGGTCCACACAGGTACCGCAGAAGAAAAGCCTGGCAATCTATTGCTTAAACATTACCCATGGAAAGACTCTATGAAGCACAGTTAAAGCAGCCTTATTTAGGATATTGTCCAAAGAAATGTATTGATAAAAGCATTGTATTTTGAGACAGTTTTATTTCTCTCATGCTTTTAAGGCATTATGAGACTTAAGCATGTAACAAGACTAAAATTCCAGGCAAACTTTAGTCACTAGTGAGCCTCCCTGTAAAAAAAAAAAAAAAAAGGCAGCAATATTATTAGTTAAATAGGAGTCATATTTGCATGTTTTCTCTCTTCACTGCCACTGATTTTCATGACATTCCTTATGTGCAGTCATTGCTCTGATATCCATCCTAATCTGACAGAATGTACATACTTTTTCTCACTGGCAGTCTGACGTACCTGAAGGAGTCATAAGGGTTCACGCGCCACTTCTCTCCAAGGTATCCATGGCCATTCAGCTTAACAGTCAAACCAAAGCCAGAGACATATTGGCCAAATTTCAATATGAGAGCAGGTGAGTAAAAGTGAATGAAGGTATTTGAAAAAGAAAGTGTTTTATTATCAGATTACTAAGCATCCAGACATCCTCCTAAGATCAGGCATAAGACAAGGATTCTTGTTTTCACCACTGCTGTTTGACATTGTACTGAAGTCCTAGCCAGAGCACTTAGGTAAGAAAAAAGTAAAGGCAAAGAAGTTGGCAAAGTAGTGAAACTTTATGCAGATTTAATAATACCATATGTAGAAAATCTCAAAGAATCCACAAGACAGCTACTCGAGCTAATAAACCAATTTAGCAATGCTGCAGGACACAAGATCAGCAAATGAAAATTAGTTGTGTTTCTATATACCAGCAACAAACCCTCTGAAAATAAAATTAGGAAAACCACACATTTTATAATACTATCTAAAAGAATAAAAATAGTATCTAAAGGAATAAAATAACTTCCTTGACCAAGGAAGTTAAAGACCTTTAGCCGAATTTTATAGTTTGCCTTGTAAATTCTGCTAAAAGAAATTAAAGGATATTTAAATCAATGGAAAGACATTCTGTGCTCATGGATTGGAAGACTTAATATAGCTAAGATGACAATTCCATTTAAAAGGATCTACAGAATAATTCAATTTCTATTAAAATTCCAACAGACTTTTTTGCAGACACGAAAAAGCTGATCTTCAAAATCATATGGAATTGAAAGAGGTCCAAATAACCAAAACAATTCTGAAAATCACAAAAGACAGTAGGAGGACTCATAGTTCCCATTTTCAAAATGTATTACAAAGATACAGTAATCAAAACAGTATGGTACTTGTATAAGGGTGCACATAGACTAATGGAATAGAATTGAAAATCCAGAAATAAACCCATAATGCAAATGATTTTCAATAAGCTCTCAAATTCATTTACCATGAGAAGAATCTTTTAAAAACAAACTAGGGTGCCAAGACAACTGAATCTCCACATGCAAAGAATGAAGCTGGGCCCTTTCATCACACCATAAACAAAAACTAATATAAAATGAACCAGTGCCCTAATATAATAGGTAAAACCATAAAACTCATAAGAAAACATAGAGGTAAAGTTTAGGGCTTTCTTTTAGACAATGGATTGTTAGATATGAAACTAAAAGCATTAGCAAATATCTGGAAACCATTTATCTATCAGATAAGGGTTTATTATCCAGAATATATACAGAACTCTCAATGTTCAACAACAATAAGACTAACAACCCAATTTTAAAACTGAGAAAAGACTTAATTAGGCATTTCTCCAAAGAAGGAATATGAATGGCCAATAAACACATGAAAAGATGATCAACATCAGTAGCTATTGTTGTTAAGTACAGTCCAGTCAGTTCCAACTCATAGCAACCCTGTATAGGATTTCCAAGGAGCACCTGGTGGGTTTGAATTACCACCTTGCGGTTCAAACCAACCTTGTGGTCCAGTGCTTATCCTATAGCACCACACCAGCTATTAGGGAAATACATATCAAAACCCTATTGCTTTACACCCATCAGAATGGTATTTTGACTCATAGCGACCCTGTATATAGTTTCCAAGGAGTCGCTGGTGTGTTTGAATTGCTGACCTTGCAATTAGAAATCCAGTGCTAACTGGATTCAGCACCACACCAGGACTCCCAAGACTTGTTATTTCCATCTAGTAGTTCCCACTCATGGTGACCCTATGCACAAGAGAACCTAACATCACCCAGTCCTGTGCAAATACCACCTGTTGTTTAGTGCAGTTGAGTTTCTTCCCACTAATCGAGACCCCATACAGGGCTTCTGAGGAGCAGCTGCTGGGTTTGAACTGTCAATCTTGTGGTTTGCAGGCCAGTGCTGATCCTACAGCGCCATACCACTTGGTATCTCAAAATCAGGAAACATAGTTTTAAAAATTCACAGAATGAAAAAGACAATCAAACACCACATAGCCACAGTTATACTAATATAAAATATCATTGAGACATAAAAGAGATTAAATAAGCAGATACACATGTAGTTGTAAGAAATACTCAGAGAGATTCTGTTTACTCTTAGGTCTAGTTCCCCCAGTAGCAATATCTTATAAAACTCTAGAACGATATCACAATTGAGATGTTGGCATTGATTCAGTTAAAATGCAGGACATTTTTCTCCTGTTTATCTTTTACAGTCACATCCACCTCTTTTTCCACCCATCACTATCCCCACATAAATGTATCACCTTACAGATGCTATCTGAAACGTACAATGTCAAATCTTTTTGTATTGTTTTTTTCTTTTTTTTCACTCTGTGTAATTCCCTGGAGATTCATGCAAGCTGTTGCACATGTCAATAGCTCTTCCAAGAATATTTCAGTAACTATTCATCTGTTGAAGGACATATGGGTTATGACCAATTTTGGACTATTACAAATAAAATTGCTGTGTTGTTGTTGTTAAGTGCCATTGAGTTGATTCCGACTCATAGTGACCCTGTATAGGGTTTCCAAGGAGTAGCTGGTGGGCTTGAACCACCGACCTTGTGGTTAGCGGTCCAGTGCTTATCCTACTGCATATTTGTATATAGGTTTTTGTTTTGTATATAGGTTTTTATATGAACATAATCTTCAGTTCTTTGAGATAAATGTCCATGAGTTTGCCTGCTGGGTAAGATGATAGTTACCTATTTAGTTTTATAAGAAACTGATGAACTGTTTGCTTTACAGTGACAGTATTTTGTATTCCCGTCAGCAATGTAAAGGTGTGATACAGTTTCTCTTCATCCTTGTCAGTATTTGATTTTGTAACTTTTCTTTAGCCATTCTCATTGCAGTGATATCACATTGGGACACATCCTTCTTTCTCTTAATAGATTGCTGAGGACAATCTTTTTTAAGTAACCAGCTGTAAGTGATTCCTGGACTGGGATTGAGATCAGCAATGGCATTTCAGAATCTCCTATGCCACTATTCTAGCCTGGGGTGGAAACATTAAATTTGGAAAACATTTTCTCTGGCTTGCTTGTATCATAGAACAGAGACATTCAATGAAGTCAGTCTTGATCGTTTACAAGACATTAGACACAATTAGAAAGGTGACATGGGCTGTGCAGGGAGTTTCATTCAATTGTGGCAAATACAGAAATGGAACCTGACTTCTTTTGAACAGAGAGCAATGAGGCCAATGACAAGGCAATGTAAAGAAAGCATCCATTGTTCCTTGGGTAACTTCGATGTGTCAGCAACAGTTATGCCTCTAAAATGCAGCTGGCAGAGGCAAATGTAGTGGACTCTTATATTTCTGTAGAGCACCAAAGTATCCCATCTTGGCTTTAGAATAGTCCCATCGTCATTGGACCTGAGCTTTTTGTCTGTGTGAAACAGAAAAACAAAAAACAAATTATCACAACTTCAGTCATAGTAAGGATTTGTGGAGTGCACTTAACTCAAAGCAAAATGAATTTTTGTTACTGTAGTTATTTAATCCACAGATGCTAAGAGATTATTAAAATTTTATTTACTTTCTCATTTTAGACATGGTTCATCAGAATGCATTAAGATCCAGAACCAAAGATTATATGAGATTGGAGGAAATATTGGTAGGTGTTCTTTAATAAAGTTTCCTTCTAAATTCTTTGGCTATTTTTAAAGAATATGTTGCTGTTATTATAAAGTATATTTTGTAGGCTTCTTTAATAAAGTTTAAAGTCAGTAAATATCTAGCTTAAATCTCATATAAGAACAATTGCATGATTTTTCTAGAATGTTTTCAAAATTTAAATGAGAATATTTTACATTTGATATGGAGTAGACTTTGGGGTTCTTCTTAAATTGCTAAGTCTCTTTCCAGAGACTCATGCAAACCAGTGTAGAAAAGAACATTATGAGAACTTTCAGAAACATGAGATCCTTTTTGTTTAACTTTTCTCTTTTCATTCTCAGTCAAAAGCTGTTGTTGTTGAGTGCTTTCCAGTCAGTTCCAACTCATAATGACCCAATATAGGGCTTCTGAGGAGTAGCTGGGTTTGAATCACTAGACCTTGTGGTTCACAGTCCAGTGTTTGTCCTATAGTGCCACACCGGAAGTCCCAGTCAAAGGTTACTCTTCATATTTCCCTGAGATGGGGTGGGGAAATGGAATCAAAAGAAAATCTCCACAATCTCCCTTTACACCTGCTCCTCACTTAGTGACTATCTTGTTATCTGACTATTTTGCATGTTAACAACATACATCTGACAGTAATTAATGCTGGCATGCAAGATGAGAGTAATACTGACTGTGATGGATAAAGTTTCATGTCAACTTAGCTGGACCATGATTCTTAGTGGTTTGGCAATTCTGTAATGATTTAATATGGCAGTTATGTAATTTGTAGTCATCTTCCATTTTGTGATCATAATGCCTATTTTTGCATAATAACCTGTTCTTTGGAATGTAACCATGTCAACTGAGGAATGAGAATTTGTATTGATGCCCTTGTACTCTGGCTCCTTTCCTCCTAGTATTGATGCCTTGTACTCTGCCTCCTGTCCTCCTAGCATGCTCCTATTTAGGGCCAACCTCTCCACTGACTTCTCCTGGAAGAACTGCCCTGTGCAGGGCTTGGCTTCAGGAACCACCCATTCTCTCCTGCATCATCAGAACCTACTCAGAGGCATTAATTCCATCTATGTAAAAATTTATGGCAGTCTCTCTCCTATTTACAAAAGTCTGTCTTCACATCCTTCAAGTTTAATCCCATTTCTCTGCTCCACTTCATGGCAAAATCTCTTTGTACTTCAATTTCTTCCTCCCATTCTTTCTTGAATCCACTCCAGGACAACTGTACCCCCACCGCTCCACCTTAATTGCTTTCTTATCAAGGTCACCAGATAACTCTTAGGCTGTAAAATCCAATAGTTCCTTCTCAGTTACTATGTTCCTTGGCTGACTAAGTTGATTTTTTTCTTCTTTCAAAAACATTCTTTCCACTCTATTGCTCCTTCAGAGTCTTGTTTGCCAACCACTTCTCATCCTGTAAAACTCTTACCATTGGAGACTCTTAGGGCTCTATCCTCAGAACTCTGCGCTATCTACATTTAACATCCTTGATGAATTCAACTGATCTCATGATGCTGCGCAAGATTATATCTCAGGAATTGAAGGGAAATTCCTCAACATAATAAAAGAGCATATATACAAAACCAACAGCCTACATTACTCTCAATGGAGAGAAACTGAAAGTTTTGCCTTTGCGAATAGGAACCAGACAAGGATGCCCTTTGTCATCACTCCTATTCAATATTGTGCTGGAAATATTAGCAAGAACTATATGGCAAGACAGGGAAATTAAAGGCATCCAAATTGGCAAAGAGGAAGTCAAACTCTATTTGCAGATGATGTGATCCTATACATAGAAAACCCCAAAGACTCAGTAAAAAAGCTACTAGACCTCATTGGAAGACTCAACAAAGTGGCAGGATACAAGATCAACATACAAAAATCAGTTGTATTCCTCTATACCTAAAATGACAGTGCTGAAAAGGACATTAGGAAAGCAATACCATTTACAATAGCTGCCTAAAGGATGAAATATCTAGGAATAAATGTAACCAGAGAAGCAAAGGACTTACACAAAGAAAACTATAAAACACCACTACAAGAAACCCAAAGGGACCTACAAAAATGGAAGACTACACCATGCTCCTGGATAGGAAGACTTAACATTGTGAAAATGTCAATACTGCCCAAAGCAATCTGCACATATAATGCAATCTCAATCCAGATTCCAGTGACATTCCTCAAAGAGATGGAAAAAACAATTACAAACGTTATATGGAAAGGAAAGAGACCCAGAATAAAACAAAGCACTGCTTAAGAAGAAGAATAAGGAGCCCCCATGGGACCACACCCTACCCATCGGACTGCGCACGGGAACCCTGCTGACCCCGCCCACCCGTTGTAACAAGTGAGAGCCCCACCCTGCCCATCAGACCCACCACTAGCCCCGCCCCACCTGCCTGATGTAACCCCAGGCCCACTCACTGGTCCCACACAAACTTGCCCCGAGCTCCAGACCCCGTGAGACCCCCGCCTTGCCCACCGGACCCCCCAC